CCCTCTCCTGGCGGTGCAGTCCCCATCCGAGTCTGGCAGGTCACAGCCAGGCAGCAGCCCCCACTGTCAGACTGCTGAAGTGGGTAGAGGGTGCAGGGAACTCTCAGGGCCGCTTCAGCAGTCCAGCTGGCACAAGGGATAGTGTCCACAGGTACCAATTGCCTGGGCCTCAGAAGCTCCTGAGAGCTAGTAGCCCTGAGCTACTTGCCAGGGTGGCTTTTTATACTGCTGGGGCCAGGACAGGGCAGCTTTTTATACTGCTGGGGACATCACAGGTACTGGCCCCAGGCTCTAGCTCCCCCTGGCTGAAGATCCGGGAGGAGCCAGGCAGGGTTATTTTGCCCCAAGCAGCACAATTTGCTCTACAACAAAGTGCATGTCCAAGCATGTGCGCTGAGGCAAAAAGCCCCGGCTCAAATTTGCACCGCTTCTATTTGAGCTGCTGCAAGCGCACATGCTTGCATGTGTGGACGCGCCCTCTGGGTCCTACCCCATAGCCAACTTCCTACCCATCTGACTGTCTTGCAGTTAAGCCCACAATCTTCCAATTTTCTCAGAAAAACATCATGAAATACCAGACCAAAAGCTTTTTAGAAGTCAAGATATACAATGTCAACCTCCTCTCTGAGGAGTTACCCGATCATAAAAGGAGATGAGGTTGGTAAGACAAGACCTGCCCATGACGAAGCCATGCTGGCTGTCATTCAGAATCTTACCTTCTGCAAGCCTATCGCATATAGACTCCTTGATGAATTTTTCCAGGATTTTCCCTGGGATAGAAGTTAGAGTAATTGGCCTATGGTTACCCGGGCCCTCCCTACTCTCCTTCTTGAAGATGGGCACAACATTGACCCTCTTCCAGCCCTCAAGGACCTCTCCAGAGCACCATGAGTTTTGGAAAACCTTTGCCAGGGGTTCTGCTATGACTTTAGCCAGCATCTTCAGCACCCTCAGATGAAATTCATCTGGGTCTGCTGATTTATATATGTCTCATTTTTTTAATTGGTCACACATCAGTTCTGCAGCAATAGTAGGAAGGCAGTCATTTCTACCCTGCTCCTTCCATACCCTATCAGGCATGTTTGTCCCCTTGGGCCTGTGAAAAACTGAGGCAAAGTAGTCATTCAGGAGCTCAGTTTTCTCCTGAGTGCCGATAACTAGCTGTCCTGAGTTGTTGAGCAGTGGCCTCACACGCCCATTTTTTTTCCTCCTGTTCCCTACATACCCAAACAAGGACTTCTTGTTGTCCTTGATCCAAGGTGCTAATTTAAGTTCAGTTGCCATCCTAGCCTTTCTAATCTGTTCCCTACAAGTGCAGGCCATTGTTGTATAGTCTTATAGCAGCATAAATCAGGAATGACTCTGTTGATGTGTAGGGTTGCGTCAGTATAAGAACTGGTGAGTAAAGGAACAAATGTTGCACCATCAATTTTTCTTCAGCATGAAATTTATGTTTAAAAAACAGAGTCTGACTTTGAAATTTATGAAGTCAAGTCCCACAACTGTGACCCCATCTGTTTCTGGCCTTCAAATTTCAATGTAACTGGGTTACTCTGGGACAAACTCATTACATGAAGTGGTAAGATGCTCTCCAAGTATTTGTGTGTTTCACCACTGTACTTTAAAACTTTTAATTAGATAAACCTGTTTTTAGTGTTACTCTTTATAATAAATGGGGCATTTTCATATGCACAAACTCACCTGAATAAAAATATATTAGTTAGTAATTTAACAAAATTGTGACTAGATATTACACCAGAAAAAGAGTACAACTTTTGTTTACCAAAATTTATAAACATATCAAAACCTAGGAATCTATCATATTTATGGTTCAAATTATCACTAGTAGCCTAGAATTTGAATTGCATATTTCTGCTGTGAATAAGTCTACTTGAAACTACTAGACAAATATAGCTAAGAGTATATCCAGAGCCCTTTCCTCTTTCTTCCTCATGTAGTGTTCTTTTCCATGTTTCACATATACATAACCCTTCCCATCCTCATATTATAAGCACAGTGGATACACTTCAGCTAACACAAATGATGCTGCTAGGATTCTTTCTGGCACCAGATGGAGCGAGCACATAACTCTGTTATTGACTAAGTTACATTGGCTAGCAATAAGATTCCACAATAGATTCAAAAGTCTGGATGCAAAACAAACTAAATTATTTTCTTACTTAAACAAGAGAATTCACTCATTTCTTAAAATTTTTCTCTACAACACATTACAGGGTTATGCAATAAGATACATATCTAAGGTCCTGGAATGTGATTTTAACAGTGTCTCATTCAAAATGTTTTTAAAAACCCACTTTATTGTATGTAGAAGCATGTGTTTTGTGGCCTAACTGACAATTTTGAATACTGGAGTGAAATTTTCACTTCACAGCTTTCTCTGATTCATACAAACTGTGCTTTACATTAAATTTCCTGCTTGTCAAGCAGAAAGTTCTCTTTACACGGTCAATAACTTACCTTGCTAAAATCAACACTGCTGTTCTCTCTGCTCACATCATTTTTATTTTCAATGCAGGCTGGAGCGGATTGTGGGGAAACAATCTGACCTGCTAAAAAAGATAATGTTATTACAGAATACCACACATTATTTAAAAGGTGTTCGATGAAAGAAATTAAAAATTAGAGTACCATACTGTATGTGAGTGAAACATGTGAGCATATAATGTAAAGTAAAATTAGGAAGTAAAAATAAAGACTCGTTTATAATAACAGATAAATTCCCAGAAAAGAGACCACACATCAAGTGCAGCTGGGAATGGGAGAATATATTTAAGAAGCTTTAAAATCTACTCTTAAACATTTTGGCCTCTGACAGATTGGGGGGGGGGGGGGGCCGCGGGGGGAAACGCTTTCCCCACATTAGTTTGACCCAGCTCCCCAGTGTCTGCATAGATCGCGTTTCAGGGGGAGGGGGTTTGGTTCTTTTATCTAATAGCGGATTCAATCGGCTATTAGATAAAAGTGCCAAAAAGTTCCCTTGAAGCACACGATCTATACAGACACTGGGTGAGCCAGGTCAAACTGATGCATTTTCTTCTGGGCACGTGTTGCATTTGGCACGGGGCGCACTGAGCTGAAAGTAAAGCAACGTTTGTGGGGTTGGGGAAGGGGTCTACATCTGTCAGTGATGCCTGTGAGGCTAATTTTAGTGCCAATTTAAGTGCATGAGTTCTATGTTCTGTCAAGTAATGTTACTTCGTTAAAAATAAAAATATTTCATGAAAGAGAGGCAAGGATTTTTGTGGGTGATATCTTTTACTGAACCAACTGCATGGTTGGGACAAAGTTAGACAAACTTGTGAATGCAATCCTACTTCTACAAAGATTTTCAAGGCAATCTGAAGAACTGCCAATTTCAGGCCCCCCATCCTGCAAATGCTTACCCACATGAGTAGTTCCGCTAAATTAAATAGATCTCTTAATTTACTCATGTGTGTCAAGTGGGCTTTGGCTAGCATGACAACCAAAGGTAGCACAGCTTTGTATCACCAGGAAAAATAAATTACTGAAATTATCCTTGTGAGAGTATCACATTTTTTATTAACTGCAGCTGAGTCCTGTATTTCCAGTCTTTTTACCCTGGCATATTACTTAAAGTTTGGCTTACATGGCTTTAAAAAAAAACCCAAATTATAATGATACTGGAGGAAACATTTTGAGATTCTTGCAATAGAAGCCTGATTATGTGTGAGGGGCAACATCCAGTAGCATTAATTTAAACAGGGTTGTTATTACCTTTCCAAAATAGCCAGAAACAGGACAAAGGCCAGAACTAAGTCAACTATCTTGTGAATGATGGGGCTTTCCCACTGACAGTGCAAAAACCATAGTATTTGATAATAGAACTGGCATGGAAAGGAGTATCTAATACATTTAAATACATCTTAAACATATTTTAACTTAATGGGGACAAAAAGAACTCTAGATGATGAGGAGAGGAGAAGAGACAAGAATGAAAATAGCTCGCTTTATTCCTTTGGTTTGATTGGAAACTTAAAGTGTTTTAATTCAACCTGAAAAGTTCAAGGGCTTAGAGGGGAGGGACAGATATCTAAATACCTTTAGTGAAAAAATATCAGACACTTTAGTATAGGAAGAAGCCTATACTTTGTCCAGTTTTGGGCCCCCCTTTACAAAAAAGATGTGGACTAGTTGGAGAAAGTCCAATGGAGGGCAACGAAAATGGTTACGGGGCTGGGATATCGGACTTATGAGGAGAGGCTGAAGAAACTGGATTTATTTAGTCTGAAGATTATAAGACTATGGGGGGATTTGATAGCAGCCTTTAACTACCCAAAGGGTTATTACAAAGAGGATGGAGCTAGACCAGGGGTAGGCAACCCCCAGCATGTGCGCCAAAGCATGACATGTGAAGGCACTTTGCTTGGTATTTGCATCTCAGGGAAGGGGCTGGAGCTACACTGTCACCACAATGATCAGGCCCCTTGTGGCTCCCCTGCTGTTCCCCTACTGTCTGCCCCTAGCACACCAATATCTTACAAGTCAAAGTTGCAGGTGTTTTTGACACTGCCCAAAAATGTTGCTGACCCCTGAGCTAGACTGTTCTCGGTGGTGGCAGATGACAGGACAAGGAGCAATGGTCTTAAGTTGCAGCAAAGAAAGTTTAGGTTGGATATTAAGAAAAACTCTCACTGGGAGGGTAATGAAGCACTAGAACAGGTTACCTAGAGAGGTGGTGGAATCTCCATCCTTGGAGATTTTTAAGGCCTGACTTCACAAAATCCTTGCTGGAATGATCTAGTTGGTGATGGTCCTTCTTTGGGCAGGGGGTTGGACTAGATGACCTCCTAAGGTCCCTTCCAACCCTAAATTCCCTATGATTCTAAGAACCAGTTCAAAGAAAGGGAGAAGATGGGAACCTATGAAGCAAAAACAAAAAAGTCTAGGCTTCTAAAAGGAAGAGTGCACTGAGAAAAGTGAAAGTTGGCCTGGCATCCCAACTACAAATAAGATGTCATGCACAGGTGAGAAATATTGAGGTAAAAGCATGGAATAGAAGAAATAGAATACTAGGGAACTAAGGACCAGATATTCTAGGTATCTGGGGACCTAAAGATGAAGAAAAATTGACTGCTCAAGAGATGGGCACCTAAGCTGCCATAAGGAAATACAAAGCAACTTGTAGGATGGCAGATGAGAATACTTCAGGGCCTTATATTCAAAAGTAGTTAGGTGCTTAAGCATGAAAATGAACATCCGACAGGTTTTTCAAGAGTCCTAAGCAGTTTAGGTGTCCATCTCTAGAGCAGTCAATTTTTCTGCATCTTTAGGTCCCCAGTTACCTAGGGACATACACTGAAGAGGTATGCCGTTCTTACAGATTTATCTAACCAATGATACAATTCTGAGATATTGTATTTTATTTCCATATGAGAAGAGGGTGCCTTTACATGTGCTCTGGGGTGAGAGTGGTGGGGATGCTGTAATTAGAGTGGCTCTCAAGAGCTGCTCTAATTAAAATGCTGCAGTGTCTCATGTATTCAGCATCCCACATTTCAAAATGTCCATGGGGCACTGTAAGTGAATAAGCTTGAGTTAAAGCACCCCTTCAGCCATTTTGAAACATGGGATACTGAATACATGAGATGCTACAACATGCTGGAGAGTTTTAAATAGAAGGCTCCAACAGACTCAATTAATTGAGCCTGCTCCGACACGTTCTAATCAGCGCACGTGTATAGGCACCTGGCTAGATCAATTTCAGAAAGCAAATACTATTGTAATTGGAGTGACACTTCAGTAGCACCCGCCTTGTGTTCTGAATTGATAATGTTCAGTTATGCTGTTTGCTTATGTTAACGTATTCATATGTTTCAGAACGAGTGTGATGTAATGTGAGAATATGCTGACCACTGTATGATCCGCTTGTTGCATGTAGGTCACTGGAGCCCCTGAACTGTTGACCTGTGGTGTGAGTATACATGGGTGACAGGCTGGAAGGTGTGAGACTGTGACCTTGCATGTGTGTAATTATGAGGTCATGTTCTGGAACTTTCTGAGGAGGCTATAAATAGCAGATGTGTGATGGCTTGTATGTAGGTTGTGGGTTTTGGAGTATCGAGTGTGAGTTTGGAGTGTGGACTGTGTATTATAACTGAGGTTGTGAGTTAATAGTGAGAAAGAGAGAGCTTGGAGCTGTGAAGAGCCATATCTGACCTGGCCAGTCAGGCTGTAGGCCTTCAGTAGCGTGGCTGCAGTGGTGGAGGTGTGCTGCAAGGCAACCAGCAGTGGGACCATCTGAAGATCTTCTCTGTTCTCCTAATAGGGCACTGAAGCCAGTTGGCTCGTAGGCATCACCCGCCTAATTTGAGCAGCTGCCAGGCCTTAGGGTACGTATATGCAATCTCAGAGTGTGGGAATTGTGGGTGAACCCATTCATAGCTGTATTTCTGTGAGTCTTGCCATTTTCATATCTGTTGTACTTGTCCTCGTATTCCTGTTTATTCTGTTTGTCATTATTGTAGTCCTTAAATCCTCTAGACGTGGTAGTGTTAACCTGTGTGTATAATCTGAACCCTCCAGTTATATATCTGTATATATATCATATAGTGCCTTAGTTGTTAGTAGTTTGTTAGTATAGATTTGTGGCTTCATAGTTGTGTAGTTGTTATTAATAAATCATTAAATTAGTTCCAGTTACTATCCAGGTCTCAGCTATTAATTTATCCTCACTAATCACCCCAGAGTGGCACTGGGAAGTATATCAGTGAATGCTCTGAGGGACGCATTTGTGCCCATCCCTTCAGTTGTAGACTTTGCTTTATTAGTAATCAAAGTCTTCGTGTAACAGTAACTTGAAAATATACCCATGAAAACAATGATTTAAGAAAGTTCTAATTTCTAAACTAGTTCAGAAAACATGTAAAACTGCTAATTTTTCTCCCACTACTAGTTGCAAATGTGTGATTATTAATGTGCAAGCTATTTATTATAGCAGCCATTCAATTTGCCAGGCCAAAAGAAACTTTAAAAAAATATTTGCTCAAATGTACTCTTGATGTTTTCCATCACCTGGTTAATGCTTTATGTATTGTACAAGTATAATATTGTACAATATTGTATAATACTGTACAAAATGTTCAGGTACAAAATTTTTCTTTTGATATAAAACTTACCAATACCAGAATGTACTGGAATCGGTTTGGACTAGAACCTTCTCAGAAGATAATATTAGCAATCTTTCAAATTACAATATGTAAATACAATTCTGCACCATTCAGGAATTTCATTAGTGCTACATAAAGCCTTTGTGCTACTTAATTCATATTAAACTTTTTGTTAAGAACCAATATGGTACTTAAGTAGAATTGGGCATGTGTGCACAGGAATGACTGTCACCTTAAAGGGTTGCCAGAAGTAGCATGTAGTGCAAAATTCACTAGTCTTACATTACCCCCAAAGATGAATTTAACACTTAGCAAGGACATATAATACAGGAGACAGAGGTGTTGCAAAACAGGTGGGCAAGATTTTACCCTCCATTATACCATGAAACACTTACAACTTCATTCAGGTCACAAGGGAT